GAGGTCATTCAGATTCTCTACCCAATACACAGCCGTAGAGACAGTCAACCTAAGGAGATGAAGTATATACGATTACAGAAGTTTAGATTCCCATTTAGGCTGTGGTGATTGTGGTATTTGTATGAACTAATAATTCCAATGAACTTGATTGCCCTATGGATACAAATTCCAAGATAGTGGAAAATTCCAAGAATTATACGTTCATTTGTGTTTATCTAGTTTTATCTACCTCAAGTGGCACCATTTCGAGAATTCTTAGTTAGCACATTAAGTCGAATACTTCCAATTATCATACACACTCCACCCATTGTTCACGAATCATTAAGAGCTCTCTGATCACGTGAATCACTCTCTGAATCCATGTTGCCTATTGATAAGGGGTTTCATGATAGTTTTCATGGTCTTCTTAGTGGTTGTATATAATATTTCGACTACGACACTGAAGGCAACAAACGAGCTTAGGATTCGGTGAAAGTCGGCTTGATCCTGTCTCGTAATGTCGTGTGACAGTTAGATCCCTACAGTCTACTGACAATCAAGTCTGGTTATACCACATCTTGAATATTATAGTGAGAGGAATTAAAATGTGGTACAGTGCATTTATTTCGTCGCACCGGTATAAGTTCACTGGGAGTCACTGATTGGGTGACACGTCTCCGTCAGCTAGCCGTTCGTCTAAAGGAGATTCATGAATGAAGACTGTTTGGAAGTATTCAAGAATGACCGTCTGATTATCTCAAAGTATCTCTGTATTTAAAAATACACTACATTCCGTCTCTAAGTAGGCAATCCACGGAGGCATTATTGTTCTGTAATCAGTATACGAGAAAAGTCCTTTTGTCTGGTTGTTTGAAGTCCGTAGAAGTCCATACTCGGATTTGTGTCAAGCAACACGAGTTGTGTTCACAGACTACTTTTCACTGATTTGAAACGTACTATTAAAGTTGCTATCCCATTAATTTCGGCAATGATACTGCACACTCCTTTTGGACACATAAACATTGACACCATTTATTTGTACGATGAAGTAATTGTTTATTTCTTTGAAACTATCCAAAGCGCTGACGTCTGAGGTTTCGACTCTGTAAATCCACTGTTTTATCTTAGTCAATCATCTAGTCATTAGTTGCAGCATCATTGACCATTTCCGATTGAAAATTTGATCTCACTTGTAATGAAGATGGAAAGCTTTTTATGAAAAAGTGTGAACCGCATCGTCGCTTCATTTACTGTAAAATAGTTGTTAGTAATGTTCGTCATGATTTTATCATAAATGATGGTCAAAGTCCTTTTGCCAGCCTTCAATAATTTTCATTTTTCAAATTTGACCTTGGCTCGATACGCGTTAAGTGCTTTTCGCGCACATGGTAATTCTGTTGATTTTCCCAATTTTTCGAAATAAATAACACAATTGTCTGACGTTTAAATAAGTTAGTCACAAAAGATTTCACATTTTGGTTTCAGTGATATATTATGTATATATATGTACACATATATAAAAATAAGATATCTTATGTTTATATAGATATATATTCGAAGCCTAATAGCTGAAGAGAGAGCACAATGAGATGTGTGAATGTTTTGAACTCACTTGTGTTAGTTTTATAAGTAGCGCGACAATAATGTAGAAGCATTCAAGTGAAAATCTCTAACTATTTACTGGAGTTTCTATCTCTCTGATTCAAGGAAAACTCTTTCCTTCATAGGTTCAAAGTATTTGATAGCTTCTCCCAAAGTCTTGTAAAATTTTGAGGAGAAAATCCAAAGTTTTCTAAGATTCTTGGGAAATATTGAGGATAACTCAACATTTCCCCAAACGTTTTGGGGATTCTTCTCATACCTTGGAAGATTTTAAGGACTTCGTGCCATTTTCTTCAAACGTTTTTAGAGTTTTCTTTTGAGGATTCCACAAGATTTGCTCGGAATTGAGAACTCTTGTAGCGAGTTTTTGTGGGTGCTTTGTATTCCTTTGAATGAGTAAGTTGTGAGTGTAGACACCACTTCATCGGATAATAGATTCCAAGGATCGATGATCTGGCTAAAAGACCTGTGTGTCACAAGTTTTTTGTTCGTTCCTGACCTTTAAGCTTGCCTGTTATGTCTTCTGAGTTGTACTAATCTATCAGGAGAAAAAGGATATACCGGGTCCAAATCATTTCATATTATTTTATACATCAAAGTCAGATCGCCTCTGAACATGCGGTGAGACAGGTGAAAAAGGTCTTACTTCTCGATCTTCTCTGTGTATGGTAAGACTCATACTTATGACATTGCATGGATAGCTGATTTTCGCACATTTTCTATGATACTTGAGTCACATTTTAAACCGTGTCTTGCAGCCTAAACTCAGTACTCAAGTTATGATATTACTAGGATTGCGTATGGTATGATGACCGTATTCGTAACCAACTTGGAAAGAATTCATCATAACGGTTTTATGATTCTAAACCCTTTAGTTCCAACTGCACAGCAGTGTGCAGTGGCCTTGAGGTCGTGACTTACTGGAACTTCTAGATCATTGTGAGACAGAACTACGGGCACTGACGCTTCTTCAATACTGTAGCTAATTACCTTTGTATCTCCAATGTGTATGTTAGTGGATGACGGCATCCAATATCATTGAGTCAGTTATTTAAATCTTTTCCAGTATAATGAGTTATTAGCTGCTGAATTACTGGACATTACTGGACATCTTTCCCATTGCTTTTGAGTAGATTTCACTCTAGATCTGTTCATGAGCACACATTTTAGCCATTTAGAATATGAATCAGTAGGCGATAAAGCATAATGCAGGGTTAAAAAACAAAAGCATTTTAACAATTCAAATTATTAAAATCAATACCATTGGTAAACGTTTAAAACAAAACCCGTATTATACGTCATAAGAAGCTGTTAAATCGTTTCTGTAGAGTACAATGTAAGCCGATATCAGTTTTGTCTATGTAAGTGACTGTCAGTTAAGGGCCTATTCTAAAATAATAATAGTCAAAATAATGTGTCATTCTGTTGGAAACGTAAACAAATTTTGTTTTACCCAGAGTACATACAGATTCAACAGTTGGTTTAAATAGTTTAATAATCTGTGTAGATAACTAGTTTCATGCTGTTCAATCATCAGCAGCAAAATGTGTCTTAGATATCCTGAAAAGAACGTGAAGGATGACTTTTACTATGAGACGCCATGAACTATCTAACAGTACTTTACGTTTATTAGAGTTTACTATGGAACTTCATGAAATAAATAAAATCATATAGTTAAAATATCTTTATTTCGAAGATATAATTTGTTGTGTATTGCTAATTATGAACAAACCGTGAACAACACAGTCACCTACCAGACGTCCACCTTACGTTTGCATTTAAAGCCTTCTATATACTATGTTTTTGCTAGACGTTGTTATAGTTATCTTGTAGTTGATGACACTTTTTAGCTCTCCAAGTCTAGTGCAAGTTCAACTGTTAGTAGTTTGCCAAATGTTGTGATCTATTTGATAAATAATGAGGACCGTTTCTGGTTTTCGAATTTCATTATCTTAACATTCTGGATACCAAAAAGCTTGAAGTGTTTTTAGCTAGTGTGACATTACGGAAACCATTACTCTACTTATTCTAATGGGACCTTGATAAACTTGTTAGTTTTACTGACAACGATGTCATCATGAATACGCCGAATATGACCAGTCACACTTTTTTATTCGAATCGTATTTCTACTATCATGTTCAGATATTTCACTAGTTACGAAAAAATTGATGAATATTATTTTTTTTATTTATGTACACAATACTCAATCACGTTAACGCTATTATTGCTATCATCCTTGCCAAAAAAACTGACCAATTTATACAAACTGTTTTTGTATTATATTTCTCCCAAATTTCTCTGTATTTGTTTGTAAAAATTTATAGTTAATCGAACTGATACCTTTGTTACTATAATTGGAAGATTGCGTTTTTTACTATTAATAACTCAATTTTCTTCGCAAAGTATTATACGATCAAAGAAATACTACAGAAATTCTTGTTAAAAGGCACTAACTGCAGGGGAGCACCATAAACTCTGGTGTTATTTATGAACAATATTGTGATATGTATAACTATTTATAAGATTGAGGCAATGCATTTTCTCAAGGGATAATGATACTAATTTGTTTCATATAAAAACTAATAACATTGATCATTTAGTTGCTAGTGTTTTGCAAAATATTTTTTATGTTGAGCGATTGCCTTGTTTAAAGGGTTATATGCTGATGTAAGTAATTTATTGTTACTCGGATACCTAGATGTTACGAATGTTACCGTAAAATTTTAAACATGATATTTCTTACAATGATAACAATATCTTGGAATATCGTAATAAATTATCAAAGCATTAGGTTGAAAATTTTGAATTCGTTTAGTGTTTTTTGGAAATAACATAGTTGTTTTTTTGTATGCATGCAGACTTCGATCATGTTCAAAATGCAAACAAAACTCAAAAAACCTAAATACATAATTTTATTTATTTCGGATGTTATTAAATACATTGAATCTTTTGATAACAAATAAAGAACACAAATGATAAAATTTCGGGACTTATGTATCATACGCTACTTAATTTGATTAGGTGTGTCATATACATGTGCATAAAAATAATGAAGCTATGTCACTCAAAAATGTCTGAAATATAACAACTGGAATTTCAATAGTTATACTGTAAGGCATTTGAACCTAATACTAAGTTGTAAGCAAAGATGGATAGTGGCTAGCAGTGGAATCCGGGGCGCGCGTTGCGTCCTATTTGGAACTCAACAGCTGGATGTACCTGCATTTCAGAGTTGATATTCACTCTGGGACTCGAACCCAGTACCCTTAGCTTCAAATGCCATCACGTTATCCACTCAGCTACTGAGTCCTGATAGCCACTATCCATCTTTGCTTACAATGCTTGCTAAATAAGGCTATATCAAGGCAATAGGCACAGTATGCACATATGCCAATAAGAGACTGACCAGTTGCAGTCCTAAACATCAATGGGAAGATTCAACAAAAGTAATTCTTAGTGAATCTAATACTAAGTTGTTTCCAAGTTAATAAAAATATACGAAATTTTTAAACAGAGATACCTATCAATGTATGATGAGACAAAACTTTTTGACTTTCATTTTTCTTTGTTCCTTTTTAATTTACTTTGTATTGTTTGATTATCATTTTTAACATAAAACGTGAACACTTGAAACAATAATTGGATATATCGTTCTTTAAATGAATTTCCTTGTTTCCAAATGAGTTGTTTTTGATTAAAAAAGTAGTCTATTGCTTCATGAAAGTACTTCTTGTGGGCGTCAGACAAGCTGTAGTCAAGTATAAAGTGTGAGGATGGAAAATATTAGTCTCGTGTGTTCTAAAATGCTGTTAATAAAACGATTTGTAATTCCAGTGTATTAACAACAGGCTTCTGAAGTAATAATTTCAAATTACTCGTTTTCTTCTTAATTCTAAAGGTATAAGTATTATTCTTTGTAGATAATAAAACTAATGTGTAGTATATATGGCAACATATTACATTTTCCATTATTAACTGTATTTGATATTTCAGTCCTAACTAGTAGTTAATATTATTGTTCAATATTTGTCCTTAAATACAAATCAATATCTTTAATAATGGCAGTTAAAAGGATAGTATATAGTACAAATATTTATTAATCACAAAAAGGAACTTTTTATATTTTAGAATAGCTATAAAAAATCAATATGCAAACGAAAGTAGCCAACTAAAAAGATTATATCAATATTGTTATCAATACATTGAATATATGATACATAATCGGAATAAATGGATATACTTACGTAATATAAATTAATAAGTAATCCCGATTAGATCTTACTTGCTATAAATAACCGCATTTCATGTTCATTATCAAACATTGTCAGCAATATACTACTATAATCTTGAGTAATTTAATAAGTGCATATGCATGTCTATAAACAGTTCATATCAACAAATGATAACCTCATACATAGACGCCAGTACTTAAGCATAATGATTTGAGAAGAAATATTCTAAGAAAAATCTCCTGTTAACTGTGAAAGTATACATTTTTAAAACATAATTCAATGAAATGTTTTTTACCACAGTCGTACTGATATCAAAAGTTGTTCATTATCAGTCGTTATTCACCAAACTTTTAATGAGATTTTGTTTTTTAATTTCAGGAATTTTATTTATAGTTTGTAAAATGTTGCAAACATAGAACACTGAACAAATACTTAATTAGATTTTTCACCAATTCACTTTTCTGTACCTAAAAAGAAGAATTTCTTAGTACGTTGATATTTTCATTATATTTCCTATCTATATCTTTCAAATTAAAGGCATATGTATCTATATAAGGATATTTTAAATCATGACATTTCAGAAAGACAAAGCAATATATAGTGGATCTAAATTTACAAAAAAGTCAATCACAAAACAACAGTTTACTCAAGAATTAACTGCTCGTCTAGAACAATTATCATCAAAACGTGAAATTCATGAAACAGATGAATATTCAGAAACATCTTTATCACCATCGTCATCCATATCATCATTTCAATCGTCTGTATCGTCGCCTAGAAATAGTTTCATGATACGTACGAATAGATTTTCTTTAAAAGATAGTAAATTTACGAAGGAACCATTCAATGATTTACAAAAGGCGAATCGGATATATACATCTTCAAAAAACACAAAACCATGTCAACAAACTTATATTAAACCGAAAAGTTTACAACAATCAAAAGAAAAAAAACGTTATGATAAACCATGTTTAGCGAATGAAATAAATTCTTCCATATCAACACAGGACAATTATAACTATTCCAAAAATAAATATATTCAAACAAATCAAATGAATAAAACTATTGACAGGCGTGATTTTCCACCTAAGATTATGCTTAAATCTTGTGAATCACGCACTCAGTATCCGAAGGAAAAAGAGGAATTTACTTTAATTAATGAAAATATTTTACAGAAACCAGATCAATATGATGTATCAGTAGGACAAGACAAAAATGCTAACCAGATATCCGATCAAAGTGATAACGATGATGAACTAGGGTGTTTAGAAGATGATACAGTGATAATAGGTGATAATGAAGTAAGCAGATTATATGTAACAATATACACGTACTTCTTAGTATGATTTCCTATATTTTTTAATTATCGGTTGAATTATCAGTCTATTGAAATGGATTCAATTCGGTGAAAATCGTTGCCACAGCTTGTTAAGCTTGTAACCAGTTTAAAACTTACTTTACTTTCGCCTGTTACTCCCAATGGAGCATAGGCCGCCGACCAGCTTTCTCCAACCCACTCTGTCCTGGGCTTCCTTTTCTAGTTCTATCCAGTTCTTGTTCATTCTTCTCATGTCTGTCTCTATTTCTCGGCGTAATCTGTTCTTTGGCCTTCCTCTTCTCCTTTGATCTTCAGGATTCCATGTGAGGGCTTGTCTTGTGACGCAATCGGGTGATTTCCTCAAGGTGTGCCCAATCCACTTCCAGCGCTTCTTCCTGATTTCTTCCTCTGCTGGAATCTGGTTTGTTCTCTCCCACAGTAACTTATTGCTGATAGTGTCTGGCCATCGGATCCGAAGTATTTTGCGTAGACAGCTGTTGATGAACACTTGTATCTTCTGGATAAACTCCGCCTGTAGCTGCTCTGGGGGTTACTGCCGGTCCCAAGCCCGGGTAAAAGAGGAGGGTTGGGCATGGGGTTAGCGACCCCATCCCGTAGAAAATCAACTCGCTAAAAAAGCGCTAACCAGAAAAAGATCATTCAACCAGTTTAAAAGCATTTCATAAATTGCTATAAACTAAACGACATTATCACAAGGGGGCTTTGTGGAGATTTTAGTAATTGTATATAGTTAAGATCGTGAGTCAATTGAAGCTAGACCACCATGGAAAATCTGGAAGCACTGGACGGCCAACCCGTCCTATTGTGGGACTCCTCAGTAATGCTCATTCACGATCCCGCCTCACGAGATTCGAACCCAGGACCTACCAGTCTCGCACCAGAGCACTTAACCGATAGACCACTGAGCTGGCATCCAGCGGTGTTAATGTCTAGCCTCAATCAATCCACGAAATTGCGCGACCAACTTCCATTGTACTGAGGTAGATATCTGTCTCTAAAACATGTGTAAGACTGTAAGACACAACAGTTTATTTCAACTTACTTTTGTCCAAGAATTCTTTACTCTCTTTGGCGTTACATTTTACAGTTGTTCTATAGAGCGAACCGTCAAGCTCTGAAATACAATAGAACTATTCTACACTTTAGTTGTTAGAACGTGTAGCTTATTCAGAAACTGAGTTATGTAACTTGAAGATTGAGCTTTTATTGAGTCTAGAGAACAATATTGAATTCTATCGTTTTAAAAAATCCACTTTATTGTCATACATTCGTGATTGTGAGTTAAATTACGTCATACAAAGATGTGCATTTACCCAAGTTCCCATATCTCATTAACGTGATGAGACTAAGTTAATAATAATGAACACTGAAAGACTCAAAAAAAGTTTACTAACAATGATAGTGAAAAATACCAAACATTGATAAAATAGATCCTGAATACGAAATATACAGGTATTTATGAAGATATAATGAAACTCAAGCTCTAAAGGAAAATAAAGAACGGATAAGTCTTCATAATTTCAATCAGTTTTGAGCCGTTTTATTCAACTAATTGTGGTCATCTCGCAGATACTTTATGATGAAATCTAGAGCAGAATTGTTTTCAATATGTTAAATCGTTTTATTATCATCGTACGGATTCACAGAAGTTCCTTCAAAATAAACAAACAGTTAAGTTGAACTACATCGAAATCCATAGAAAATTGTAAGTTATGAATCCACCAAAACCACAAAAAATATTTTAGATCTAATATTACAGAATAACATGAAATATTAATTACACACGAACTGGATGTAAGCTGTTATAAAATAATTTGATGTGTCCAAGATCCTCAACAAATGATTGTCTATAAAAGCATAAATATAGGTATCATTACCAAGTTTTGACATGATAATTTTGAATAAATTGAACATTGAGTAGATTGTTATAAATAAGTTAATGTATATATAATATCCCAATAAATAGAAAAAATTAGATTTTCTGACGTTTCGTGATTCAGTGTAAGCCACTTCTTTAGAGAAGAAATAACCAAATTAACATTAATCCACGTTTAAATAGTATGACGGAACAACACGAATATTAGGTGCGATCAATCAAAAAACAGATCTGATTGATCACATCTAACATTCGTGTTGTTCCGTTATACTATTTAAAGGTGGATTAATGTTAATTTGGTTATTTCTTCTCTAAAGAAGTGGCTTACACTGAATCACGAAACGTCAGAAAATCTAATCTTTCTACTCATTGGGATATTACAAATATATTAATTTATTGATAAATAAATACAGTTCAAGGTTGTACAAACTACTCTGAAAATGTTTTATACTGAATTAATTAAGAATATTTCAAAACTATGACATTAATTATTGAACTAACTAGATTATTTAACTAGGCATCATAATGATGAGATTTATTCCTTAAGTTTATTTGTTATTTTTACAGTCGGCAGTAGATATGTCAGATTCAGATGCTTCATGTACAAGACGATTAAGTAATATACCAGAAGAAATTCTACCGCCAGTCATTGCATCTCTACTTCCTAATACACCATCAGTTTTGCGTTTTGTTGATGGTAAACAGACTGGTGAGTAAACTTCCTTGTTTCATTTTATATGTCAGTGAACCTTTCGCTATGAGCGAAATTCCACAGGTGTATATAACAGGGCAAATTTACAATCTGAACCCTTTAGATTTATAATAGTGTTTGAACATTATTCATTGTGCAAATAGATACTCTACTAAGGTTTTTTTCAGTTTTGAGTCTAGGACATTACTGAAGCTACCTCGTAAGAACCAAAGAACTGAACATACATATCGAGGACTATACTAATTCTGATACGCTTATTTTGCCTAATTAGGAAGGTCGACAATGAAATTTCACTAAAAAGCAAAATTAAATTGATAGTTCCATCACTAAAATGTGAGATGCTACAGGTTTCTGTGATATAATTACTCCGCAGATTACCAATATTAACGCCACATACATCGCGTTGATCAAGTCAGTACATTGATGCATAAGACATTCAGCAACAACCTTAAACCCAAAAATCGGTGAAAATCTCAAGTAAACTTGATTTACAGAGCCATTAAACCTCCATTTCATTAGTGAGAAATCGCTTCACTTTTTGTAGTGATCCCATATTTTGTCGTGAACCTGATTGATAGTGTGTCTCAAAGTACGCTCTCTACTACTTTCTAGTTTTCATGGAATATATTGTTTCTTGACAATAAAAGCTATATATATATACAAGTTTTCTCGGCTAAAAGTGTTTAGGTGTTCTCATAATATGTAACCCACGTTGTTCAGTCGTCGAGTAAAGTTTCTATTCCAGATATTTAATTTTCTGCCAATTTATCTTCTACGACCTGTAGTATGCATTCGTCAACTTTAATTTGCATTCATTCTGATATCAGCAGAATAAATGAATAAACAAATGAATAGTTGCTTTAATCAAATCACAGTTATCGTTTGGTAAAAGTACATGGTCTAGTGTTTATTTTAAGGTAATTGTTACTGATATTTTATTGTAAAAACCAATCAATATATTTTGTTCTTGGTGAACAAAACTGGATGGCAAGTTTATGCTCGGTTTAAGGACAATTACTTTAAATCAAACTGCTTCACAGTGGTAGATAAAATACTATCGCACATAGTTTTATGTTCATATGTCTGAAAAATTCATTTTTTGATGAGTTAATAATTGGTTTGAGTTTCTGTTACTTCGGATTCATTTACTGATGTTTATGAATTGAGTGATATCTATAATCAGTACCCCTTGATTGTACAGATGCCTCGATGTTGAAGTAAAACATGTTACGCAATTATGTAAATGAAGTGTTTTAAGTCTGTCGACTTGGTGATTCCGTATTACTGTATTTGATAGCCTTTTCTTGCACATAACTTAAACTAAACATAAGTTGGAGTTTTCATTACCCAATTGTTCGGTTGAGATAAACATTTATTCTATACAGAATGATTTCGTGTAGCTATTGAATTCCATAACATGTTCAGCTGATGATCAAATTTTTATTGTTTTTTAATGTAAATTTCTGTTGTCATTAACTTCAAAAATAATTTTTATTCATCAAATTTACCTCTAGTACCAAAATTTCCAAAGCCTTACAGATATCAACTTCTCTGGCGTCCCAGTGCAATTACACCAAATGTGGTTAAACGAATCTTAAAGCGATCTAATTTTCGGATAACATTAAGTATGAATTTGTTTTTAAATCTGAAGAATATTCTTTCTAATGTTGCTACGGTTTAAAAAAAAATTAATTTACCCTAATATGGATGTTTCATAGTCCATCTCTTTAGTAAACCAATGAATTAGTTTACTGAAAATAAAGTTTTCCACATGTTTGAAAAAGTTTTAAGCTCTTAATCAGTAATCATCTTGAATGAAAGCTGTGCCATTCGTAACGTTCGGAAGAGTAGCGATCTAGCAGTCATGAAGTATATTACAGAATGTTATAAGCTGGTGAATAAAACTTATTGATTTAGTAATGCATGTTAAAATCTTGTATCAGCTATTATAATGTATGAGACAAAATTGATGGAGATTGGTTTAAACAGTTTATGAAGTGGTTATCTTTTAGTGTTTCAAACTACGCATTGCAAAACTATGTAGTTAAGTGGATAACGGCTATGGTTAACTATAAATTCATCAAAGAGTGTATTTTGTTGTGTATAAAATATGTTGAAATTTATTTTGACTAGCTCAAAGAAAACAAGTTGAAGCTGAGTTGCGTAAAGTTGAACCGTTTAGGACAAACGTTTACGGGTCAACATTACGGTTATTTCCACTGAACTGTACATAGATATAAACCCCATCAAAAATTTTTGAACTGCTATGTTTTGCCTTTGAGGTGAATTATATATATATATATATATAATAAGTCAAAAGTAGTGACTTTAAAGCAGTCCCTTGAAAAAGTTCATTACAACTTCTCGTCTGCTCATACAAAGTGTAGTTATGTCGGATTTCTACAAATCGATCGTTTACGTGCAACACTGAACAGCCTAGAACTAGCAACTGAAAAGAACTCTTGTTAGTTTTACCATTTACGTACTATTTCATTTATTATTTCAATTAATTTATATTTTTAGAATCAAATGAATGGATTGGATATTATGGAAATCATTTAAAACCATTCGGTTTTCGTCCTATAAGAGAATATCAGAAAATAAATCATTTCCCTGGTTCATTTCAATTAGGTCGTAAAGATAAATTATGGATAAATTTAAATCAATTACGTTCTCGTTTTGGTAAAAAGTCGATTGATTTTGTACCAAGAACGTTTTGCTTGCCAGGAGATTTAAAATCATTGAAAGAATTTTGGACACATCATGAAAATACAAGTAAAATGTCATCAAATGATGAGGCATTATTTCATTTTCGACCTAGATGGATTATGAAACCAGTAAGTGTGCCTGAAATTCTTGGATAAAAAATTAAAAAGTTAGAATTTTGATTTGCAGTAAAATCAGCTTTTATTATACACTAAATGACTGTAATAAACGTAGGTATATTTATGTGTCTGCTAATATTTCTGATACTCCTTTGGAAGATTCAGATGAACAGTCAACTCGCATAATATAAAAAAAACTTGCATAGAATTGAAACAAATCACTATATAGTTATTACAAGGCATAAGAGATCATATATAAAGATCTGTCATTTATTTTAATGGAATGTGGCCAAGCTCTCCACTTAACCGAGCTGTTTTTCATAGAAAAAACCATAGTTTTCTAAATAGTCCTCAAACTAGTCAACTTTTTAAGATAGTAGGATCGATTTCTAGTTTGAATACTATAAAGCCTTCATTTAGCATATTCTAATCTACTTTTTTCATTTGTTACTTAAACTTACAATTCACTGTTTTCTAATGAACTATTGAGAGGAGAAGTACGTCAGCGTTAGATTTAGGTTAATTTTTTTCGGGATATCGTAGTTATGAGATTGAATAGTGTGACTGTTCAACCAGGCTATATTGATTAAAAGTTCGTTTCATCTAGGTTTTACCATGACAGACAGGTTGGTTGGCGAGCGATCAGATTAAAACTCTCAAACACATGGTTCGAAGGTGAATTCATACGGCTGACTGGACAGAGTTCTGACAGCTGTAACATGTCTTTCTCAAATAATGAGCTTTTGAAGTAATGGTGCTTTAGATCAGAAGATGAGGTTTAGAAAATGTTACCCCTATTTGTATCACGCCGCCTATTTCTTGGTCACTGACGTTAAAACCCTAAAAATATGGGGCTAACGCGTTTAAAACTACTCAAAAAATACATGAGTTCATAGCTTTAAAAATTGTCCTTTGGTTAATATGTTTACTTTTCCAGCTTCTCAAATCTACCTGTAACGTGTAGCTTCTTTCTTAATCACCTGAAGAAAAATTATCTATCCATGGTGTGGGCGAGCGAGAAACGATAACCATTATTAAACATCCGACGGCACTTGAAACCATCTTTTTCACGTCTGAACTCTACTCCCATTGCTTATTATCTAAACTTTTCCACTATCGACCCTTTTTTTTTTCTTCGACTCCTTTCATATATTCCGATAGTGATAATAGTTTGAGATCACGAAGTGATACCCCAGTTTCTCTTCGATTATATTCTAAACGATATGTCGGGTCTTCCAACGTCCGAACTATATGTTAAATCAAACAAAAGTCGTCATACGCTGAAACTCTATAATCTCGTTCCATCGATAAATGGAGTTTTTTTGAACTGATCAAGGTTTTGCCATCTTTATTATCATTGCTACTACATTATTTCGATTCCTTCACCTTTTAACTAGTTAATTTCACTTCGTCTTACTTATACGGTTTGGCAACTTAGTCCAACACATATCAGTACCATGCTCCATACTGATTATGAGTAACGGACTGGTAACTTTTTGACAACCCTCATGAATTCTATGTGACCACAGAAAATAGCATGTTCTCTTCTCTCTAACACAAAGCTTTTGGAAATATCTTCATAAATCTTAAATATGCGTACTTAAACAATTAAGTTAAATTGTCTGTTATGTTGTGCGCGTCTAGAAACATTGCTGTCTCCAAATCTAAATCTTCGTTGAACGGCAGGTAGATTTCTTCAAATTAACATGATTTAACTGAACTATATTTTATCTTCAGGTAATTCACACACTGTTTCACTCTCTCTTGAGGCACTGCATCATTCGTAGTCAATGAAAAAAGTTCAGAACTTTGAAGTCAGAAATGTTTTCTATTCATCACGTGTAATTCAGAATTTAAACAATGTTTGTTGACCACTGTAGCAGAAAGAGTTTAAACACTTCTGTAGCTTACAGTTTTGTAGTTTCTATTGAAAGTAGGAAACCATTGTCAGTATGAAAACTATTTATACGATGACATCGACAATCCCGCACAAACTCTCCCGTCATTTAATGTGAAAATTATTGGTCTGAAATGTAAATGTAATTACTACAGAGCAACATAATTCCAGTAAAACTCAGCCAGTAAGTATCATACAAAGCATAAGTTCAAACAGGAGTTTATCTTAAGGTACCAGAAATATTACCATTACTTCAATATGAACACAGTTCAAGTGTATTCTCATACAATATAACGTAACCAAATAAGTTAGTAAAACATTTGAAAACAAAAAAATATTAGAGCGAACAATGGTTTTCACTAATTTCTTTATCAACCCCTGTAGTTATAAATCCATACATAATGTGTTACAATGACCAGAATAAGGCATTCATGAATAATTGTATTAAACAGCTTTATGTGTTAAGTTTGTGGACTTTCGTACCAGTTACGGTACACAGATATCTAAGGTCAGTCATCTGTAAATCTAAATAGTCATCAAGGTGTAGAGGTAAGAAAACTCATTGTATGATATTTCACTGCAATCAACATAATAAAATCAATCATGTAAATAAAATGCATAGTAGGAGATATGGTTTCTGAGATACTGGGATAATAATGTTCATAATAATGACTACAGTAGTACTAATACAATTATTTGAATAAAATATGTAATAAGGGAAATGAAACTAAGATAGAAAATTCGTCTAAATTAAGGAAGATGAATGTGTAAATTGAATGTGAGATGGTGGAGATAAACTTAAAACAAGATTGTGTTAGGTGTAAAGATCTATTATATTAGCTTAAATATGGGGCGACCAGGCCAGAAGTATGGCAACAGTGAGGTTGAATAAAACTCTCTTGGGTTCATATATTTTCTGTCAAGGAGTTAATCAAGATGGTTCCCACTATCTAGAAGAGTCATAGTATTGCTTCTTTAGGTAGATGGTTTTGGACTTCATACAGAACTGCAAATCCTTGATCTACCTTGATCTGATTTTCGCTACCTACTGATTGAGAGATTATGGTCTTGTTGATTGATTTAGTGAATCTTTTTGTTAACCACACCGGTACATATTCACGAGCACGCAAAGGTAGTTCCTGTTGAGTACAGTCTATGTGACTAGCTCCGCAACAGTAGCTAAACTAGTATGCGCACATGAAAGAGCTCACCATCGGTATCCTATCCTTGATTTCTTGTTTAAGTAGTGACTTAGTTAAGAAAGTCATATGCAACTTAGCAGCGTTAAACGTCTTTTCAATACATCTTCCATGTACATGTGTTCATAAAACATCAGCTACTTCTTCTTTAAAATAAATTTTTAGATAAAAGGTTTTCGTAATCAGTGTGTCGCCGTACGTCTTGACTTTGGGTTTGAACAAATATTTTCTGATGACATTATCTTGATAAATGTCGTCTTGTAATGTATTCTTTAGTCTAACTGTTTCTTCATCCATACGATTTTAAGGGTATGACACTCTGATCCAGTGGTTGAAACATTTAACCATATCTATCTGACACTAAACAGATATAATGCTTTACAAGCAAGTATATTGATCTGTCCATATACTCCTTTTTACAAGACATCAAATGGCGGAAATCCAGGAAAGCTGTGCTACTTTCATATCCCTCCTCACTGGTGAATTTAATCGATCGATTAACTTTAATAAAACTGTTCCGTAGCTTTCATTTATTGACACTGTTATTGCACACGATTGGCGAGGAATTTGTGTGTCGAAGTAAACCATGATTATTTTTTTATCAATGCTGACTCAAGAAATGATAATACTTCATGTGACTATATTTATTGTCGTAGTTTGCTAAAATTAACTGATACATATCTTGCTACTCTTATTATAAAAGCCAGCATCAGCTCGTGGAATTGGAGTAAAACTAATTCGTGGTTGGTCTGATATTCCTAAACAACGTCGTGTAATTGTTCAGTCATATATCAATCAACCATATTTAATTGATGGGAAGAAATTTGATATAAGATTATATGTTTTCGTGGCAGGCTTTAGTCCACTTCGAGCATATGTATATAGAGAAGGTTTGGTGAGATTCGCTTCACAGAAGTAATTTTTATTCATTTCCGTTTATTTGTATTTTATAACCATTTTATGACTTTGGTTTAGTGAATTACTGTTTAAACAAGATTAGAAATGTCACTGTTTTATACTCCTGATCTACCTTAAAGTAATATTGATAATCAAAGCTGACAATTGTTTAGAATTTTTCTCCGCAGAATGTGGTACAGTCAAATGTTTAATTGAAAATAAGACCATCTCAAAATGTTTTAGTTCAACTTAGTTGTTTAAATTTCATCCTGTTATTCAATGATTCGGAATTATTGTACATTACATAATCTATGAAAAAAATGCATTACTTTATAATTTATATAGTAATGATGATTAGATGGATTTTTATTAAGAAGTCTTTTTCGTAAACATAAATACACGTGTAAACAGATGTTTTGCATTATGTTGTATATTTCGCGGGAGGACTTCTGGACAGTCTCCGATGAACTTCATCAGACCAATCTATACTCAACGATAAAAATTCTGATACTCATTATCTACTACAATATATCTATCATTTCTTATTTTAATCATTCAGTTAGAGTGTGGCAAATAACTTGTCCAAAACAGAAGATTAAAACAGTAGAATATACAACAATCACAGAAGATTGAAACAGTAGAATATACAACAATCCAATCATAATTTTCATTTCGTTGTATTTAAAACTCCTTTGTTCTTTTTTGTTTAAATTTATATGACTGGTATATCAGTTTTAAGTTACGATTTTCCTTATCCACCTTTATGATTTTTTCCCCATTTCTACTTTCTTTTACATAGGTATTCTACTTCTGTTCAACAGTTAAGAAATCGTTTTGTACATTTAACAAATTATTCTGTTAATAAATATAATAAAACTGAAGAAACATTTGCATCTAATCATAAATGGTGAGTAATAAGTAGTTATTCTTCCGTATATATATTTCTACAGATGTATGCTATATACTCTATCTAATATCTTCAATGTAGCTTTGAAGAACGTTAAAAAAATTTTCAGTTTAAAGGTTTTTGTTTTTATACTTGTTTGTCAATGATCACTTGATCATGACTTTTGGTTTTGGGTAGGCTTAAACTGAACGGCCGTTTCGTCCTACTCCTCAGCAATGCACACCCAAGACCCCGCCTCAAGAGAGCACTTAACCACTAGACCATGAAACGGCAGTGCAGTGCTTCCAGGTTTTCCATGGTGGTCTAGCTCCAATTGACTCATGATTTCAACTATATAGAATTAATAAAATCTCTACAAAACCCCATTCTTAATCCGATTTGTTTATGAACAATTAAACGTAGTGTTTTCATTTGTTATTTTTAATATGTTAACATTATTTATTCACTTCACTATGCTTAATGAGACTAACAAAACCTGCTTCAAACTTAAATCAGTGTTGATAATTGGACTGTTTAGGGGTCGTGTGGTCTTTTGGAATTTCGTTCTCTTTGAAGTAATTTTCATCCTCAGTACTGTACATTCAACACTCAACAGGTTTTCGAATTATAACCTTGCATCCTTGATGTGGACAGGAAATGGTAGAATAAAGGGTTGATGTTTAAGTGTTCATATTTCAGTACTAGCTATTCCGTAGTATTCGATTATCGTTATACGGGTTATAGCTAAACAACTTTCTTTGTATAAATTTTTTGTCTCTTCCTTTAAACCACGTACAACTGATATGAACGTTTTGTGGACATTATGTTTACAGTGCATACAATTCACACAAAACAACTTAAGTTACTAGTAATTCTGCATTCATTAGTGAACAGTTTTAAGATGAATTCGCCTAAGTTCTGATGAAGAGTTATTATGTTAAAATCAAGGAGATCGAAATAAGATACTAACCCATAAATAACATTTGACTCGTATCGCTGAAATTTAATATACGATCCAACAAATTTACATCAGTCAACTTACAGGTTGTACGATAGGGATGTTGTTATAACGTATAGGACTCTTAATATATATGGACGTGCAATTAGAGAAGGTAGTGGATTTTACTGATCGGACGCAAATGATACTTGAAATCGTACGAGCAGTATTGATTACTACTCGGTCTTGCTATCTGCCTAGCCCAACCCGTTAAGTCCAGAACACAAATAACAGCCTCGGCAATATGAATAAATATTTACAAACATACTGGGTTTTTATACAAACCAAAGTAATCAATAAACTGATTATAACTCAAGAATCGTATGATAATAAATCAAATATCAAAATAAAGCTAATGATAAAAGAAAACACGGATATGAATAGTTTAGTTACGTAACAATTGTACAATAGGAAATAGGCATAATACATTGGTCGATAAATAGGCCTTAGAGTTACCATTCATAATTCACTAGAGGATATAACAGATGTATTACACGTCTGAGTTATCCCAAGTAAGAGAAAAGTAACAGCTGTTTATTGCCTCATGCTTTTTGAAGTTTCTCCGAATGACATGTTTTTTAATATGAGAATCGCTTTCAAGAAATGGATAAGTTCTAGTAAATAAGCTCATCGCATTGACAATGTGACAGGTAAAAATCATGTCATCTAGTCGGCAATATAACTCTTAGTAGTTCGGTATATATGATGTTGATTGTTAAGACTGTTTGCGTTTGAGTATTATTGAATAACTAGTTCCATTTTGTTTAACATTTTCAATCTCATTTGGTCAAGGCTACTTTGACTGAAGGAATATTATGATGTTGGCGGATCACTCTGATGAGTATCATTTGCGAAAATACCAGTCACTCTTAGGTAGCTTATTGACGAGTGCACAAAATATTTAACTACGTGAAACTAGAGTGTCCGTGTAAAATTGGTGTTCTCTTAAACTAAAAATATTAAAAAACCAGTAAATGTTTGAATTCTAACATTCTAATAATTTCAACAGTATTAACTTATAAATTTGTTTACTGCTAAGTCGAAACTATTTCAATACTATTCGAAAAAACGACAACCAATACCGAGAACACAAAATTTTTAAACGTCATAAGTTTTATTGAGGTAAGATGGTGGTTGGAGGTGGTCAACAGGAAACCCTGGACCCGGGTTTCGTGCTACTTGGCACTCGTCAGCAAAGTGTACCTGTAATCCGATCGATAGCATTCGATCAGCACTAAGAAGGACCTGACACGCATGAGATTGATCACCACCCAGTGATCAATCAATTGTGGTCATAAGTTTTATTCAAACGCTTACTCGAAGTACACTTTGTAAATTACTACAGATATTTTTACTGTGGAATATATATAAATACAAACTGGAGTATTAAAAAAATGAGTATACGTGAATGGTTTTGATCAAATATAACTTATATCTACAGGTAATCCTTCGTTGCATGGTTTTTATTACTTAGTTGTCTCAAGGCATTGAAGTTATGCACCAACACAGTTGGATATCGTTTCGTTAGCTTAGAGATTAAGCTTTTACGCACGTGATCAAAGATCGCTTGCGGAGTCATGGATACACACTGCTGAGAAGTTTTATACTAGGACGCTTTGGCTCCAATGTTTTCAATAATGATCTAACTTGGATCGGTCAGTGGTTTCAGTGAAATTAAACTATCTCCGCAACCCCATACTGATTCAATTGTTCATAAAATTAAAATAGTTTTTTTAGATACAGATCTATTGCGTTTAGAAAACAGAATTAACGAATACTAACATGTTGATATTTTATTAAATACTCATAGACAGAATACCTTGTGATAAATAATCAATGGTATAAATAGTTGGCCATCCACTTTATAGGTAATCCGACAAACATATTCAAATCAATGCATCGTGTTTAAAGTATTTAAGAACATAGGTACGTGGAAACATCATTACAGTTTGTAGTCCAATCCTTTTTTTACTTGTATTTTCAATAATTTAAACAAATAACGTAGATTTAAATTTTACCGATTCATGAACATTTCCCTTTTAAGCATGAAAAACTTCTTTAATAAACTGTTTTCTGTACTCCATAGGAAATTAAGTACATTATGGTCATATCTAACAGAACGTGGAGCTGATGTGCTGAACCTGTGGTCACGTATTGTTGATATTATTTTTAAAACATTATCATCTGTTGTCAGTTGTATTGCAACAATGGTTGATCAGAATTGTAGACGACGTGCATCAGTTTATGAATTATTTGGTTTCGATATAATATTGGATGCTGATCTTAAACCATGGCTTTTAGAAGTTAATGTATCACCGAGGTAAAAGTTATTAAGTACTTATTTAATGTTTATGTTTATGTAAAATATTTGTTCTGTCATGGGACAATACAGATTCTCAAAGAAAATATAGCTTGTTTTTCGTCCTTTTTAAATATGTGGCACGCATGTATCTTGGAGTCTAATTATCAAACGAACATTAATTCACTTGGGGTTATGTAGGCGTGATTTTTAATAATGTGAGACAATTGTAACTAGATAATTATCACTATTACCTTTTAAATAACTAACATAAAGTTTTATGTAGATCTTAACATTATATTTTATGATTAGTAGATATTTTGATAAAACTATAATTCATGGAATAAACTTTGAGCGACGCTTAATTGACATTGAGGAATTTCACGTACTTATAGATTATAGATTACCATGAGGAATTTGAATAAGAACTAAAAGTTGTAATTTAGGGTTAAGAATTGGAGTTAAAATTTTCATCACTAACTGACATCAGCTATAATTCCGGAATGCTATTTCGTCATTTTGTTGAATGACATTCACGCCGCAATCCAACACTTTCTATCGTTAACATCATTGGTTCATCCATGAATTATAGTCTCGTAGATATTCTTTTTCAAATAAGAAGTTTCATTGAAGTGCTTTTTTCTATAACGGGCATTTCCGTGTAGACTTTGCAAATCATATTCATCCTTAGTAGTTTACTTTACTTTACTTACTTGCTTACTTACTTTCGCCTGTTACTCCCAATGGAGCATAGGCCGCCGACCAGCTTTCTCCAACCCACTCTGTCCTGGGCTTCCTTTTCTAGTTCTATCCAGTTCTTGTTCATTCTTCTCATGTCTGTCTCTATTTCTCGGCGTAATCTGTTCTTTGGCCTTCCTCTTCTCCTTTGATCTTCAGGATTCCATGTGAGGGCTTGTCTTGTGACGCAATCGGGTGATTTCCTCAAAGTGTGCTCAATCCACTTCCAGAGCTTCCTCCTTATTCCTTCCTCCGCTGGAATCTGGTTTGTTGTCTCCCACAGTAACTTGTTGCTGATAGTGTCTGGCCATCGGATCCGAAGTATTTTGCGTAGACAGCTGTTGATGAACACTTGTATCTTCTGGATGATGGCTTTCGTAGTTCTCCACGTCTCCGTCCCATACAATAAAACTGTCTTGACATTTGTATTGAAGATTCTAAACTTGGTGTTGGTTGACAGACAGTTGATTTGAGTTCCAGATGCTCTTCAGTTGCGAATATGCTGCTCTTGCTTTGCCGATCCGCGTCTTCACATCTGCATCTGATCCACCCTGTTCATCAATGATGCTGCCCAGATATGTAAAGGTTTCCACATTCTCCAAAGCTTCTCCGTCAAGTGTAATTTGATTGGTGCATATTGTGTTGTATCGGAGAGTCTTGCTTTTCCCTTTGTTTATATTGAGACCTACTGCTGCTGAGGCTGCTGCTACACTGGTCGTTTTCTCCTGCATTTGTTGTTGCGTTTGTGATAGAAGAGCCAGATCATCCGCGAAGTCTAAATCGTCAAGCTGCATCCTGCCTGTCCACTGTATCCCGTGATTTCCTCCAGATGTTGACGTCTTCATGATCCAGTCGATGACCAGGAGAAAGAGAAACGGTGAGAGTAAGCAACCTTGCCTAACACCGGTCTTTACTTGAAACGAGTCGGTGAGTTGTCCTCCGTGGACGATTTGGCAGTTTAGTCCATCATAGGAGTTCCGTGTGATATTTACTATCTTCTCAGGCACACCGTAGTGTCGAAGAAGCCTCCATAGTGTCGTCCTGTCCACACTATCAAATGCCTTCTCGTAGTCGATGAATTTGATGTAGAGTGATGAATTCCATTGGATTGATTGATCCACTATGATACGTAGAGTTGCGATTTGATCTGCGCACGATCTATCCTTACGAAATCCAGCTTGTTGATCTCGAAGTTGGGCGTCCACGGAATCCTTCATCCTGTTTAACAATACTCGGTTGAAGACTTTCCCTGGTATTGAGAGAAGAGTGATGCCCCTGTAGTTGTCGCACTTGCTGAGATCGCCTTTCTTTGGTATCTTGATCAGAAGTCCTTTTTTCCAGTCTATTGGTACTTGTTCTTCGTCCCAAATCTTACCGAAGAGGATGTGTAGTATCTTGGCAGTTGCTGCTACATTTGCTTTCAGTGCCTCTGCCGGGATGTTGTCTGGTCCCGCTGCTTTGCCACTCTTGATTTGTCTAATGGCCATGCTGATCTCTTCAATTGTTGGTGGGCCAACATCGATTGGGAGGTCTGTGGGTGCTGCTTCGATGTTGGGTGAGTTCAGTGGAGCTGATCGATTTAAGAGTTCTTTGAAGTGTTCTACCCACCTGTTCCGTTGTTCTTCAATGTCGGTGATTACTTTGCCTTCCTTGCTTTTCACTGGTCTTTCTGGCTTACGGTAATTTCCAGCAAGTTTCTTTGTTGTATCATACAGTTGTCTCATGTTTCCCTCTCTTGCAGCCTTTTCCGCTGTCATCGCTATATCTTCCACATATTTACGTTTGTCGGTTCTGATACTTCTCTTCACTTGCTTGTTTTCCTCTGTGTATTCGGCTAGTGCCTTGGTTTTTTCTGCTCTTGTTCGGCTGATATTGATTGCTGCCTTCTTGTTCCTCCTTTCTTCAATTTTATCCAGTGTACCAACAGTGATCCATTCCTTGTGGTGGTACTTCTTTTGGCCCAGAACCTCTTGACGTGTTGAAACGATTGCCTCCTTGATACCTTTCCAGTTGCTCTCCATGGTAGTTCCCTCTCCATTGAGTAGATCATGAAAGGCCTGGAACCTGTTACTGAGGGCTATGTTGAATTTGTTGAGTTTGTCAGTATCTCGAAGAAAGACCGTATCAAACTTTTGTGATGTTGTCCGCACCGTTATTCAGTGCTTCGTGAGTTTTAGTTTCATCTTGGCGACCAGCAAATGGTGATCAGATGCTATATCAGCTCCTCTTCTGGTTCTCACATCCTCCATCGTCCTCCTGAACTTTTTGTTGATGCAGATATGGTCGATTTGATTCTGTGTAGTGTGATCCGGTGAAATCCAAGTGGCTTTGTGCATGTTTTGTGTGGAAATATGGTGCCACCTATGACCAGTTTATTGAAGGCACATAGGTTTGCAAATCTATCACCATTTTCGTTCCTTTCTCCCAGTCCATGTTGTCCCATGACGTCTTCGTATCCAGTGTTGTCCTTTCCGACCTTTGCGTTGAGATCTCCCATCAGAATTGTCAGGTCTTTGGTTGGGCACTTCTCGAAGATCGACTGCAGTCTATCGTAGGATTGGTCTTTGGCGTCTTCATCGTAGTCGTTGGTCGGCGCATAGCATTGGATGACGTTCATTGTAATGCCCTCTTACTTTGTTCTGAAGGTGGCTTTGATGATCCTTGGTCCATGAGATTCCCATCCTATAAGTGCATTTTGTGCTTTTCTGAACAGCATCAATGCAACTCCTTGTGTATGTGGGGCATTTTCTTCTTCATGACCGGAGTATGACAGAAGTTCTTCTCAGGACAGTCGTTGTTGTCCAAGCTGCGTTCAATGTGTTTCACTGATTCCAGTCACTTCCACGTTGTATTTTCTCATTTCTGCAGCTATTTGGAAGACTCTTCCGGTCTCCCACATTGTTCGGACATTCCATGTACCTATAAAATTTGTTGCTCTGGTTGTAAGAAGGTGCATCGGCCTCATGACTTCCGACTGAACTCGGCTTTCATCATAGGACGTCACAATTATTCCTTCTACTCCCAGGGCAGAGTTTGAATGGTTTGAATGATTTTTTCTGGTTAGCGTTTTTTTAGCGAGTTGATTTTCTACGGGATGGGGTCGCTAACCCCATGCCCAACCCTCCTCCTTTACCTGGGCTTGGGACCGGCAGTAACCCCCAGAGGAGCTACAGGCGGAGTTAGTAGTTTACTTTAGGATTTTATAATTGTACAATATCATTGCTAGGTTTCATCTCCATTCTGAATTTATTGTACAAAGCAGTAATATTTTGCCTATCAAGACATGAAGTTAAAGATCCTTGTCAGTGCTGGTTGAATAGATTTCTACATTTCGCATCAGTCTGAAAATATTAGTCATTCTAGACACTGAATAAATTGTTACTACTTTAGTTGTCAGTTCTCCTACTAGTTTTATTTTAGTATAAATTCTTCAAAAATGTTTACAGATTATTTGGATTAACTAACTGTTCACCAAATAATATGATACCATAACAGACTAGATTTTTTATATAGAAATATTTTATTTTAGGTTTATTGCCAGCTACATTAAGGTGCTTCTGATGTTCAGTAGAAGTTACTGATAACAACGTTCATACGAAACTTGAGGGGAAACAGGTTACAAAGCTTAAAAACTCACTACTTAGTAATAAGCATCAAAAGGGTTTATCACTACCTACAATAGTGTGAATCGCCTTTAGTCTGAATTGCAGTTGTAATATGTGAAGGCTGTAATAACTTCACAAAATTGAACAAACATAAAAGAATTTTAAATCGATGTTTCGAGAAAGAGAGACATGAATAAATTTACAAGCTATGGGGTATGAGATACCGGTAATGCAAGACCGGAAATCTCAAATCGTACTGCTTTATGAAGCACTCAATACATATAACAAATATTATATGGAGAACCTTATACAAAAAGGTCAAATATGATAATGTACTTTGAGAGATCAACACAAATCCACTATATATATATAAAGAGAAAGAGAGTTTGAAGCAACTTGGAAATCACTTTATGGCTACGAAACGCTATTTTAGCTTGCAGTGCTAACACCAAACATTATAAAAATTAAACCCCAAAAATAAGATGTAACTTGCGTGCATCTCATTACACTATGGTCAACGAATACTTAATTTTTTCTTATAATGTACCACGTGATATAATTAGTATTCCACATTGTAACGCATTCACTAAATCTATACATAGATATATTTGGTATTTTTGATATTTTGGTATTTTGCTTTTCTGATTAATTTGCTCATGTTCAGTATCAAAAGATTCGCTCACTGTAAACAAACATTTTGATCCAAACAATTGATTAATGATTGTTTGAGTCGTTCCAATGGATTGGTTACTAATTGCTTTTTGTCTGTCAACCCAGTTTGTGTTTATTACAAAAATGAAACAGTGTCGTTGTCTGTTATCCTTTACCTTTTCGAGAAAAGTGAAAAAGTTCTTAATTTTTTTTATTTCGTGCAAAAAAAGAAAATATATATATTTAAACTGATAGTCGAAACTTCAGAAAAAAAGTAACCAACCTTGGTGTTCATTTTTTCATTTTACTGATAAGTATCATCAAAACGAAACTGAAATAATGATAATACATCAAGAAGCAGTTTGTCATTGTTGTTACCTTGTGTTAATTGAGCTATCTAGAAGACCTAAACTTTCAGTACTAAAAAATTGAATGAATCTATGAAGTCATTATCTGTCAGTCCTTCAATTCTATAGACTTCAAGGGACTTTCACTTAGTGGTTCTACCTGTTTAAGATATGAAGCTAATTTATTCCCTTCTTTAACGTTTTAACTCTAGGTTTTACTATTTTACTATGTCTATTGTTTCATTTAAACATCTATCTGTTTTTATGGATTTTCTGTTTGAACCAAATTGAAGTAAACATCGGTTTACATTTTTTATTTGTATTAAAACCTAAATCAGTTTTTGGTTTGCAGGGATTTTCTAATTTTAATCGAGATGATGTATACAACAGCTAATTTATCAAATCTTTTATCTTCGTAAATTTATAACTTAATTTGTCTTAATTTTTTAGTTGCTTAGTAAACCTAAGTAGAAACCAGTAATTCTTTGGTTGGATTATTGAGCGTAATTTGATACTAATTTCATAGCCCAAAATAGATCAGATAAAATCAGTCAACCATAAGCAGTGTAGAACCTGGTGCTTATGTGCATGAAATTGATGCACTCTATCAGCACACGACGATGAAACCATCAAGATTGATAAAAAGGTAGTAGAATTAGCAGCAGTATAGTCAGTAATAATAAAAATTAGTCATAAAGGATATGATTCAAGAAGACAAAATTTATTTTCGGAATAGGACTTATGAAATAATTTTGAAACCTAGTATCTTAGGGAATATAAATGGTTAACTTATCTACTACACTGAGACGAATTTCGATACATATAACACTAAAGATCTCTATCTGTTGGCCATGGAAGCCATGGAGAGCCCAAGCAGGTAGTTTTCGTTTCTCAGAACGACCTTTCTTCGAATCTATCTATCAATATTCATCATCAAGGTAAACAGCTGTTGAGACTATGTAATACCTGTCCTAGCCACCTCATACAATGACGACTTACTTGTCCATAAACGGATTTTTGATAGTTAAGATCATGAGTCAATTGAAGCTCGACCATTAAGAAAAACGTGATAGCACTGGTTGTCCGTTTCGTCCTATTGTGTGACTCCTCAGCAGTGCAGATCCAAGATCCCGCATTGCGAGATTCGAACCTAAAACCTGACGGTCTCGCGCTCGAACGATTAACCTCCAGACCACTGATCTAGCATCCAACTGTGTTAATATCTAACGTCAACCAATCCACGAAATTTACCAGTGGAGTTCGACCGGGTCTGTTATGAGTTAGTAAATCACTGAAGACAATGGTGGTGTTACGCTCAATTTCTTCTTCTATGTTCTCGTTGAGATTTTTTTTATAATCTCGATAACTTAAACAACAAAGTATCTTTCCTTTGTGCACGATGAAAACTGGTATTCAAAAAGGCCATCACTTGACAATTCTAGGCCTGCTGTCATCCTAACCTAAAACGGTTTAGACGGAACTCTACTACAAATTAGGACCTGGCACCTGACATGTAGGTTGTTTTGTCACTCAATCTAATTATATGATTCCAACGTAAAATCCATTTCACTGGAGGCTATGTTACCTACCGTAACATAAAGTTCGAGGTCATGAAAACTTTCTGTTCTCCATTCTTTCTTAAATTTGAGCGTTGGAATTCGAAGGATACCATCAACTGAAGTTTATATCATATCTTGTTCGTTCATTACACTTCAGTATAAAATATTCACAAATATAATCGTTATATTTCAGTTTGCACACTAATACACAACTCGATGATGAAGTAAAAACTGCTGTTGTTAAAGATATGTTCAACATATGTGGGTTTCAACTGCCTCCTGACTACCATTCATCATTATCTGTAACAACAATTCAATCAAGGTCACTAAACAGTGTTCACTATCAGCCCAATAAAGATAAGAATTTAAGTGAGACCGGAAGAATTACTCCAGAGTCAATATTACTGCTGAAGAAAGGTGATCAATCCTCTATGTCACGCAGAAATAACAACGACATTAATTACAGTGGGAAATTATCTAATCAACGTTCATGCAATAGATCCAGTATTTCTGTTTGCAATTCATCTGCTCCTCTTAAACCACTTATGTCAAAAGGAATTTCATCCATTAAGGGATTGCCTCCACCTAGTCCATCTATTAATAATACACATACTAAAAGATCTTTGTCTGCTGTATCTGTTAAAACAACATTTTGTAAAACAAACAATTCATTGTTAAATAATAATAATAGCAACAATAATAATAGAATATTTGTTGATCCATGTATACCGATAACAGATCCACGTTTATGGGATATTAGTTTATCGGCAGAGGATAAACGAAAACATATATTTTATACATCATTAATGACAGATAAAGAGAAAGTTAGTCAAAGTAATTAATTTTTAGTAAATTTGAAATATGAAATTTTTCGTTATTTACAATTCATTCAATGCAATTTAAGTAAATGTGAATAACTATGATTCAGAAGGGGTATTGTGGAGATTTTAGTAATTTTTTATAGTTGAAATCATGAGTCGATTGAAGCTAGACTACCATGGAAAACCTGTAAGCATTGGATAGCCGTTTCACCTTCTTGTGTGACTCCTCAGCAGTACCCATCCACGATCCCGCCTCACGAGATTCGAACCCACGACCTATCAGTCTCGCTCCAGAGCGCTTAACCACTAAATTCATATATATAATTTTTAAAAAAATCTTAATGAATATACAAAAGTTTTAAAGCATCAAAACATGTAATAAGTTTAGTTATTTTTCTGTAAGGAATTGTTTTTTTTCTAAATTGTTTACATAAAAATTTATTTCAAAGTTTTTGATAAACAATAGTTGACGGTGAAACTATTATTTATGGATGACCTTTGAGCGACGTTAGACTAACCTTGAGAGTGTCTACTGAATAACTAGGATCAAATGAGCGTTATATACCTGTGTGAGGAATCAAAATTATGATTTACAGTTGATGGTTAAGGTTAGAAATTAGATTTAAGGTTTTAATCACAATTTAACATCAGCTATTATGCCAAAATTCTATTTAGCCAAATGGATGAGTGAATTTGGCACCGAAATCCGAGACGTGTTGTCTTATACGTGATTGATTCCTCTATAAACTATAGTCTCGCCTAGTTGATAACTTAAGAAATCCCCTGAAAATCAAACATTTCACTGATATATTAGATTACTGAGTGTTGCAATTCCAAATTAACTTATCGGTTGCATTAATGCTTTCAGGTGTACTAATATTTCAAATTAAATTCTCAACAGATATTGATGAAATGTAATGTCATTGGTTACGAAATTAGAACAATTCACTTTTTTCAAGAAATTCCTTGAAACAAATGCATGATCTGAAGTCATTATAATTAATTTATTCAATATTTTGAGACATTATAAGTATTTCACCGTTTCATATGTGGCTCTGAGTTAACAAAGTAGTCGAAATCTATTATTTTTTTTAAAAAAGAACTGGTATTATGGCACATGACTTGACTTGTTAACTAAAATATTTTGGTCCATAAATCTTCTAGATTACAGAAAATGAAAAGAAATACACTCTCGGTGGATTTACGGCTGAATACTATAATTGTGTTTAATAATGGAATAAACAAATAACATGTCATGTTTCCATTGATATTTTTATTATAAAATGTAAGCGTATTTTGATTGAAATGTTCCCTTGTTACAAATAGTCATACATCGACATTTGACTGGAGTTATAGCTTCAGATACACCAATTTATTATATAGTTATTTGACATACGCTATTTACTTCTAACAAATGTGGGTCATTGTGAAATTATGGCTAAGTGAAAGAAGCTAGTTTCAACTTTTCAAGGGTGAAGCTTCTTAGCTAGAATCACGGATGTACCATTTGTAACATACAAATATTTTATTAGTTTAAATAGATGTAATTAATTGATTAATGTCTTGGTTCGTAAAAACTGAATTTACATCATACCATTATAAACATCAAACACATCATGCACCGAAGTTCGAACACTTTGTTTCTTTGCTGCCAAATGGTCATATTCCATTTGTTCTGTAAAATTGATAAAAATGTTGTTTAAATTAAGTTTAAATGTACTTTTATTTTGTTTTCGTTTTGCAAATAGGATAAATCAACACAATTTTTTAACAGATTGAGCAAACATAACATGAAGAATTCAACAACTACCAGTACCACTGCAGAAAATTTTTCAAAGGTAAATCTTTAAAACCTTTCTCTCTTTCTATGTGTATGTGTGTGTGACTTTAACATAATCGATGTTTCCTCATCCATGTATACAAGCTAGATTCTTTAAAATTTATATTGTAATTTTAATTGACGGTTAACAAAAACCAAACACCTTCAGAACGAAGCACTTTCGTTTACAGTATTTCATTGAGAAATAAATGTTATTTAACAGATTTATGATATACGATCTAGGTCCAAACTAATAATTGCAAGACGTAACAATTTAAGAAGACTACCAAGATTTCTATCATAAGCTACCATAACGTAGAATAATATTGTCTATTGATAAACATGAAAAAAGTAATGATATCAAAGTTGAGTATTGTAGAGACATATAAATGAATGCTTGGAGGTATTTTTAATGAGTTTAGGAAATTGCCCATTGCATCAAGTCAAATAAATCTGATTTTTTTATTGTTATGTAACAAACTGACAGACGTATAGATGATTGCATAGATCAATCATGCGAAATTTCACAAAAATAAAGGAACCTGAATAGTACATAAGTGATTGGTTGCTATTTTCAAGAAAATACTGTTCACCAAAATATAAGCCATTTAAAACATATACTTCATAAGAAAAATAAACCAAACTTTCTCAGCTGCACTTACTGAGTGAAACGAAATAACGTTTTTTGTTCAGAAAGTTGGTATACATAATGAACCAAAATTTTAATGCTAAAGATTAATTTTAAATAACCGTTCCCTCATAACTTATATATATCAGATTTGTAAATTTGAAAAATTACCCGTAATTCCAATCCATTACATCTGGAATTTATTTGAGTATGTGGATTCTGTAAAGCTTTTCCAATACATTTACTTAACTTTGCTGTTGAACAACCTTTATTGTGTCTAATTTATGGGTAGGTTGTTCATCCAGATTATGGTTACCATCTATAGGCAATATCAAATTTTGTAATTTATTCGATACAAAAGTTTCAACCATGTAATAAGCATGAACCTAGTTACCGAATTCCATTAATTAATATGTATTAACTTCTTGTATTCATCCTTGTTAATATTTTAATCCATGAAATAGATAATATGTATTAACCACACAAAAATTATGCTGTTATTTATTTAGTTGAACAGAATAAACTGAACTCTGAACACCATTAGTTATTCAGTTTTAGTTTCATCATTAAAACATTTAGATCTCTATAACAATATTATTGGCTTTAGTTTTCCTAAACAGATTTTATTGACTAATATTGAATATTATATGATGTCATAAGTCTCAAATCAAGTTTCTATGATGGTTACTTAAGCAATAGAAATATAACATTACTCTGTTTACTTTTATTGAATTTACACTATCAAAAAAATACTGTTCCATGTTATTGTTGAAATGTTATCTCGGCAAATAAAATCATGATGATTATTGATTAGTATATAAATAGTACTTAGTAAATGTTTACTTGGAAATTTCATAAGAACATAATGAACTCAAATGTACCATGTTGATTAATCTGTAATCTTTTTATTTAACTTCTTAAGTAGCTTGTTAAAATTAGATATATCATTAAAGTTTTCAATAAGTCTGAACATTATTGACTTATAAATATACCAAATCATTCACCGTACATTTGATCATTGTGGCACTTTTGAAAGTGTTTCGGAAAAAGTTTGATTTCGGTGTGTTTGGTTGAGTATCGTATATGGTACACCACATATTTTATCATATACTGTTCCTATGACAATCAAAAGGATAATTCTATCGAGAAAAAGCACAAAAAGGTCTGAATTAATTTGCTAGTCTCAACTTTACGCTAAGCGTGTTAACTCCCTGTTTAACGGATCATGTCATTGATGGGTTCATGACATGACTATCGGTTGACTCAATGTATAACGTACACACTCCAACACCACCATATAGTTATCACATAAATAACTTGGAATATGTGATAGACAGCGTAAATAAGGAATCAGGCAATATAGGTTCCAAAATGGAGTCCCTTCGTAAAAACCCCCTTTTATTACATATTATATTCACACAACAATTTTATTATTATTACTATTATTATTTATCATTAAAATCTCTCGGTGTCAAATAGGAAATTAGGTCTTTATCATCTCTTATGTTATTATTTTTCATGGGTGCTGTCCCCTCTGATCTTAAGAATTTTATTAAAGCTGCACCTGTCATTGATTTTACATCTGGTGAAGTCAATAAGAGAATGATCTTCATGAATAATGTTATTATTTACAACATACCTCACAAAGCCCTACCGATTTCGAATAGGAACACGATTTTTATTTCAGTCAATCTCCTAGATGGCTAGTGTCAGTAGATTTGTCTCAATAAAAAACATTCACATTCATCTGTTGAGCAACTGAATGTTTCAGAACAGTAAACTGGTGAATTTACTGAGCAAAAATGTTCTCATATAGTCCCAGACAAAACTACCAACCATAGACTAACAAAAGATAAAAACAATTCAGTAAGAAAAATCTTTTTGACGAAACCGTTTACTTGAGCTGTACATAAGTATTTATAACTGTTTGATAAATATATGAGTCAAAAAAAGAATAAGAAGTGATGGCATCATAAAATGATTCAAGATTTTAAATATAAAAAAACTTTGCATAAGAATTAGGAGGTAGAAAATAACTCACGGGTCCAAAATATCAGATATAACTGTTCAACTGACATATATGAAGAAGAAATAAAGGCAACGGATGAAGGATTGCACAAGATCATGGATTGATTAACGAAGTTACCCAACGAAGAAAATGAAGGATGCTCGGGCAGTGTCATGGGTTAATTGATGCTAGACATTAACATCGATGAATGTCGGACCAGTGGTCCCGAGGTTAAGCATTCTTGCACGAGGCCAAAAGTGCAGTGTTTGATTTACATGTACATGAGTTCTTCACTCAAATAAAAACCGTCCAGTGCATCCAGGTTCTCGCTGGTAGTCTAGTCAAGATCAATTTGTGATTGTAACTGTAAAAAGGAACCTGAAGAATATTATACCAATTAAATAATAATCAAAAAATTTGTTAGATGATAACAATAACTGTTTAAGGTTTAAAAAACCACCAAATTATAAAAGCAAAATCAAGACTAAAGCATACTGAAGAAGAGCATTAGAGCCATAGATTGATGAGAGGTTGCACGTATTGCTTTTGCACTCAGAGATCAGGCCTGAATTATTAAATATTCAAAGCTTTATCACTGTAAGAGAGAGAATCAACATAAAGGTGGCTGTTCAATATATGACCTGTTTAGCCTTACAAATAATAAATTGGAAGACAGTGTTGTCAACAATTTACCAGGATCGGTTTCGATTACAGCTTAAGCCTTGAACCATATTTAAATCCTAGGTTGTGTATACAGAGACCCAGACGCTCAAAATACTGTGAGCGATCTTTTTACTAATGCGTTAATGAATGCCTAAGCTTTGAATCTCAACGCGAAAGTCAAATGCTCTGCAGTGAAATGATAGTCGTCATTAATGTGATGATGAATTCTTAACAACACTTGTCATGCACTGCTGGTCACAGTCTGTTCACCCCCTCAACCTAGTTTTTTCAAGAGATATTATCCTATTATCTGTATAAGAAAATAGAGAATTTGAAATCAACGGCCACAAAATGGTTGTCGGTGTTCTTCCCATTGCTTTCTGACTCTCTGATAGCTTACTAGTATACAAAACTAGATGATATGCTGACTGTAAACATTCACACTTGGACTTCCTTTATGCTATGTAAATATGTTCAGACTAGGACGGCTTCTTGTCCAGTATTCTTGTGAAAGAAACAGACAGATTTTATCAAACCCTATACAATCTATCTCTTTCTTATCTCAAAATTAGTAGATCTATAACCTTCCTTAAGGTCTCAAAGAGCCATTTGAATTATTTTGCAAGCAGTTTTTTGAGACTCTGAAACAGTTTGCCGCAATTTGTCTGTTATATGAAATTAGTTTCGTCAGTTTTTGGCTAAATTGACAGTCACTTTTCTTCCGAAACTTTGAAAAATACTTACAGCTGCTACTTCATAGGGGTGTTAAATATGGTATTAAATGTTTATCATTGTTTATGTTTAGGATATTTACCAAGCTCATCTCCCCATAAATATTTAAAACAACACTATCCCTGGTTAATTTAATTAGTTTATCAGTATGGGATTGTGGAAACTCGTGACTTTCCTTGAAATCATGAACCGATCGATGATAGACCATCGTTGAAAGACTGCATCATATTAGTATAAACCGTCGGATACATGTCAGTTCAAAATATTTTATGAAACATATGTTCGAACTGTTTTCCTTTATCTTTAACATGCAACATTGCGTTCTGCATCAAACTGTTCATGATTATAATTTTTCATGGATTCTGTAGTTATGTCCAAGATATTATTTATTTATTTGTTATTTCAGTAATACACTCTCAAAAATTACCTCTTGTTAACTTATATAGTTAAAAGAAACAATGTCAAACAGTAATATAAGCTCTAATGGAGCAAATATGAGCGATTTCAATAACATTCTTATATTTTTAGTATACATGAAAGCAGAAAGATGTTTTCAAATACTATTTCTGATATTCACTTGTAATCTTTTTACATTCACTTTACTCTGGCTTTACTCTCTTAAGTTTACCCACTTTAACTATGTCACTTAATTATTCTCTTTATTTAATGTTATGTCAAATTACATGATTAAAAATTTGATTATTACCGTCTTACAGAATAATCTTTCTTCAGTGGACTATTTTACATCAGACGATACTTTTGGGATTAAATACTATGTATTTAGAAGTGAACACACAGCGATTTAATAAATTAATCGCTAAATCATATCTTTGTTTTCAGATTGTGTAATATAGCTCACATCCCACTACATCTATATACTCACAGTTAATGGATTGTATTACCGGTGTTGTTTACACAAAAATGTGATTAAACCAATTGTTTTCACTCAGTATTCTTAATTTGACAATCTGTTTCAGCTTTTGTTTCACGATATTTTCTTCCAATAGTTTTCTTAAATGAGGATCACGTCTATCACTAACTGAAATTAGTCAAAAAGAACTATAATAACACAGCAATGCCTGAATACTATTGAATCATAATTATTTTGATTCAATTAGATGAATTACATAAGATTTTCCAATACTGAAATAAGGATCTTCAAATTTCATGAATTACATTGACGAATGCGAAGAGTAAAAGTTCCGATCAGTTTTATTTCTTCCTTGATAAAATTTTTTGTAAATTGAGTCAATCAGTTTGAAAACTTCTTGTCGTTCTCACACTTTAGGATCCTCTGGATATATTACGTCATATTTTATTGGAACTTTCACCGGATGATTTGCGTACATTAGTCAACTTAATAGACGAACGTTATCGTGCTGCACTTGGTAATTTTCAATGTATTTTTCCAGTTCATGGATCTAAAGGTTATCAAATGTTAACATTTCTTCAAGGAGCTTACCAGGAGAACACATTTGGTGGTACATTAGGTTCACGTTCACCATCTTTTTACTACTATGATATACTTCAATATGTGTTTTTGACAGTCTATCATAATTCAGAAGGTAATGATAATTTGTCATGCGATTCCTTTGTCCACTTTTATTATGACAAACTTTTACCAGACCAAATAGCACTTGTTTCAAATGAATTAAATACCGAATCTTTGTCCATAGCAGGTGAAATGACAGGAGTTTCTATTGCTGGCTTAAAATCCGTAATCAATTTATGTAAAAAGTAAGTAATAGATTGTTTCTAGGTCCTTGAATAAATCTAATAGAGATTTACTCTAAGAAGAGTTAGGTTATCCAAGATTTTTATCTATAACATTTGTGAATCTGAATTTATGATGTCCAGTACACTTAAATGCATTTTAAAGGTAGTTAAATTTATATAATCATCTAATTAGCTGGATGAAATGACACAAATATTGTTACTGGGCTATTCTCCCTAAAAACTCTTTTTTTAGAGAATTGAACTCTTTATACTCATTGATTATTGAAAACCTGTTGTATTTTTAAATCTAAACATTTAATTGATGAAATCTATGACTGTAACGTTGAGTGATATAAGTGCAATTCCGTCTAGGATTGGTCTTTGCGAAAAACGTTAATTTGCTTTGACTCAGAGCTTATGAACATTTACACCTATCCACCTGGGATCTTGAGCAATTTGCTACAATATCTAACCGCTTAAAATTGTCACCATATTGTAAATTTATCATTAGACCTAAATCGGAGCTCAAGTAGACACAAAATCACATTACTTACTATCCTGTCACCAGTTAGAATTCAGAGCTTTAGACTTGTCTATGAGGCCGTTAACCACAAACACTCACCTTAAATCAATATCTTCACGTCTTGTAAGATGCAGTAATTTCCATGGTTTCCAGTTTAAGACTGAGTTTTTATGTAACTAAAGTTTAGGCACAGTAAATATTTATGCCTTGACATTATACTATTGTGCAATTCGCACTGAATGCATATATATTCCAAAAGTGTCTGGTCAATTGAAGTTCCAAATGACAGTTAGAAGATTCAAAAACCCAATACAAATGGATTAAACTTCTCCACATCAATATCTGAACTCAGTAGTCAAATGAATAATAAGTTTTCATTTGAACCAAAAGGTACTGGATTGGGATCAAGAAGAAAACAAGAATACTGAGAGACAGGTACATCGAGTTGATAAGTCCCGAACAGGACGAAACGTAAGTCCCAGATTCTACTTCTAGTCACCATTCAATTCTGGTTAATAATCTTTGTAATTTAATACGACTTTGAAAGCACTCCACACATAATGCACACATGCCTAAAGTGACAGATCAATTGCAGTCTTGAACATCAATCTGATAGCTTGAACAACCGATACAAATTAATTGTGCGTAATAATTTAAGTGTCTGAAAATATTATTCTCAATACGCACATTATTTATTGAATGCTTTTATAATTTTTTTCTGTGTAGAGCTATACATTTGAAGAGTTTAGATTCACCTCTGAAATCTAGCCAGTTTTTCAAAACACAAGGTGATACAAATTCAAAAACCTCAAATTGCAGTTCAAATAAAATTGACCGCCGTGAATATCATAAACTAGACGATTCCACTTCATTAAGATATCATAATGATAGTTCTGTTGAAAATCAGTGCATAGATCTGAATAATATCAAAACTATTGTCAGGACAGACGAATGTTCAAATCAAACACAAACAATGACTCAGTATATTGATGAAAATAATGACGAGTATATGAAACAACAATATAAACCAGATGATGAAAGTGATTCGCATAATAAATATTCACCATCATCATCTGTGGAAAGTAAAATATTTCAATCATCAGTAAGGAGAGAATCAACTCAACCAAATATTCAATCAAATAATAAAAATTTTCTTGAATCAACGTTATCAGTAATAAATGATAGTACTGATTTAAACAAATGTAGTTGTAACAAAACTTGTATCACAAACGCTGTTATGAATACCAAATATGTGAATACATTAAATAACACGCTGAAAGAATCGTCGTTACCTTCAGAAATACCATCTGATACAAAGCAAACAAACATTTCTTCAGTACAAATCCAAACACCCAACTGGAATGAAAATGCCATCAAATCATTTGGTGAAATTACGTGTACTTCAAATAATTACCAAACTTTGTCACGTGAATCTCATGCAACAAGAAATATGAAGCCTGTAAGATACTCAGCATCATCTTCATTATCATCGTCATCAATAACAGCAGTAGTACCCCCGAATACATCAAAATTCTATGGTTATCAAATTCTTGAACGTATGAATTCTGAGAGAGTATGCAAGTCACCAGATGAAATGAATAACATATCTACAAATCTCTATAAAGATAACAGTCATATTAATCAACGAATAAAAATGTTAGCAACATATTGCACTAATGACCAGTTTTATAATAAAATCAGCAATAAGGGTACTATAAATAATGTAAACAATAAAAGGCAGATGCAAAAACTGATATCCGGATATCAGAATAATAAGTACACTGATAACATACCGAATAACCATCGGCTTTATCATCGTATCAAATCTACTTCAACTTTATACCCTATAAGGTCTTATTCACAAGACAGGATTTTATCTCTGAATAACCTTAACCATGGAAAAGGTAAACAATAACACTAATTGTTAAACTTTGCGTAAAAAAGAAATCAAACTGTTCTAGTATTAATTTAATTTGTTAATTATTTCGATAAAAGTAAATTTCATTCCTACAATAGTAAGACTGTAGTTTAAAATAATGAATATAAAAATACTGACCTGAATATTATTTAAACTAACCTATAAAACCCTCTATTATCTATGCTTAGGGAGTAATCTTCGTTTTTTTGTTTTTCAAAATAGTATCAAACTTTTGTATAGATGATCTGCATAAAATTCATAACACACTTTGTACTGTAAGCAAAGATGGATAGTGCCTGGCAGTGGAATCCAGGACGCGCGTTTCGTCAAACAAACAATACTAAGTGAATTTACAACCTGTACTTCATGCTTCCATCCAAACAAGTTAGTATCAGTAACAAACAAGCAAGAAAGAAATTAAATTACTAAGGATATCTTTGGTTGGATCAAACATAGTACAGAATTCGTTATATAAATCTTGTATAATATTTAAACAAGTATCCTAAAGCTCATCTAGTCAAACTTCATTTCATAGTAGTAATAAACTCCAAGCCCTGAACATAGTTGGATGGAGAATGTTGGTGAGCAGCCTATGCTCCACCACGAGGGGTAACAGGCGTAAGTTAGTAATAAAATTCAAGAAAATAGTTGATATATTTTGTAGTTATAAGAAAAATGTGATTGAGTATCCGGGTATGTTTGGTGGATTATTGTTTGGAAAATTAACAAAAGATGTTTAATTTTGTAGTCATTTGGTAAAATATAGAATCAATGAAATACTGAAATGGCAATTGCTACACACAGTGTACTCATCTAAATTTTAGTTTGCTTATTAAGGCCACACAACAATCACAAATGTGGACAGTCTAGTTCTTCTGAATTATTGTAGTAGGCTTTTAGATTATAACCACGATCTCAGCACTCCTTAATGATGTAGAAGTGCTATCACAGGTCATGGCTAAAATCAATGGAGAAAAGAGTTTATGAGGAAGATGCCTTAATTGAAGCTGTCACATTTTCTTAAGCGAATTTAAAGTAATGCTACTCTAATGATTAGAACAAATGAAAAAATATGGTATGTAAAGTTTGTTGATGGTCTTCAAACATTTGAAATTCAGAAAAATATTACAAACTGTAGAACTATTAATCTTAATTATCTTTTCATAAGACTGATCGATTAGTGTTTGTCAGAAATCTAGATAATCAACTGATGACAGATTTCAATAATCATATCCTCGAATAATCTAATCAGAACACTATTCAATCATGTTAATATGTAAAATATGTTAACGTATTTCATAGACTAATGATCTACTGAGTTCTAAATATACTTCATTAGATTTATTTCAATAACAAGTAAACCTGATAATGACTTCTATAACAAAGTGACAAAAATTTGTTTCATATATGTAATTGTCTGACTCTCAGAATCTTTATCAGAATATTTGACAGATTTTTTAATAATTGACTTGGATAAAATTATCTCTGCATATTTTGTGTTTTAGGATCTTTTGAAGATGTCTCAATGTCCAGTGGTTATTCATCATTTGTACGAGACAAATTAAATTCTTCATTCAGGCATCTAGCATTGGAAATGAAAAAAGCACAAATATCCAGTTGATATGAACAAAATGAATCCAATGAATTGAAAGCTTTTAATCTCATTGTGATATAATATAAACATTTTAACTCACTGTGATAACTAACAACTCCTTATTTTACTAGCACTGAAAACACTATTGGTATAGCTAGCCAAAAGTACTACTCGTACATATGTAAATGCATTTCATTGAAATTACTATTTTGATTATACTTGATTGCGTTTAAATTAGATGATGAAAGAATATGCTTTCAATGAACATTTTATTTTATATAAACATGTAATACATAGATGAATTATTAAAAACTTGAACATATTATTTTGTAATTACTGGTTCCTAAATTATGTCTATTTAAGTCTCTATTGTTTAAAACAGCATGGAAACAAGGAATTCATAGAAACTATGATGATGTAATAAATAAATCTGATGTTGGAGTTAATTGTAAAATAATAATTAAATTTTTAGAAGAAGATAAGACGAATATATGTTAGGATCTATGATCTACTGTAAAATGTTTGATATTTCTTTCATTCAAATAATTTTCTATTAGTAATGTACATCTTTAGTGAACGAAGATTTAGTAGGGAAAACCAGTTTATTGTCTGATGCGAAATCTAAGTGTCTTTTTAAAATGCAAGAGCCATACATCATAAATATTATTTGCACATCTCTCTTCAGTCCTTCTTTACATTCTTCATGAATCTTCCAACTCTGTTGTTATTACAATGTCTCTGTATTTCCTTCCCAGTTCTCTTCAATTCAATCTTCTTCTGCAAAGCATCCCACTTCCGATTGGTGCTACACACTGCACATGTCTGTCAGCATAACTAGTATACACCTACTTGTACTTCAATGAATGAAAGTCACTGACTTTATGGACTTATATTACACTGGTTTCTAAGCAGTGTATGTTTATCAGCCTACTTCTGCAGTAGGACCTGGTTAGAGAAGCTCTAACACGTTTTTCAATGGATCATCAGCTACTATTGAGACATGGCTGTGATCGCAAGGACTATTATGCAAACTTTATGCAAAGTAAAATTTAAAATTAGTTAATAATTCATAAAACTCCCTTAAGATTGAGAAAATTGATGAGATCATGAATTCCTAGAACTCATGACGAGGACAAAGTTCCTACACTGAGGATATACCTACCTTAAACAAATTTCGACTAACTATTTCCTCTTATTTTAACCCACAGATATAGTAATCTTAACACTCATAATGTCCTTCATAATGCTCAGTTTCCATAGAATTTTTAGATACAAGCTGTCGTCATTCATCAGGAAATATCTTTGCGCGCAACAAATTTGAATGATTCAGATTCATCAACTTTAACATGAGAGAATCACTTTAAAACACTAGTAAGGAATATTATTTAGGCTTATAACTCTTATTTCTACAATTATATATTTTCAATATAAAAGTCATTAATTTTCAAAGATGCGGTTGAAAAAACGTAACAGTCCATTCGTTGCGCAAACTAAAAAAAATTAGTATCGCATTTATTTATATGACTTGTCTACAAGACAAAATGTTACTTATTAACTGGAGAATAGCGATTTGCTTAGCATTATTTCTGTTTCCTAATAGCTACTTTGATAAATCTTAAAAATTCCTTCAGTTAGATAAAGAGCTATGGGACGCTCAGTAACTTACATGTAGTAGCTACACTAAATTCCTAATCATATGAGATAGAGAACATAAACATTGAAAATAAGTTTTCTGGTTAGCCATCTTTTGAAGTCAAAGGTCTCCTTTTGATGAATATTTAATCTTGATTATGTTTATTGGAATAAATTTTTGGTTAGCTGTTAGTTAAATGAGAATAGTTCACTTTTAGAATCATGTTGATAGTTCGAAATTTTCAAACTGTCATCGAAAAAAATCTAACTCCAACTTTCACTTACTATTCCAGCAATAAGTATTCATGAAATTTTCGATCAACCGTATCTATTTCACAACTAATCTGGTCCTACTTAAGTTGAAATTTCTATACAAAGTAGATAAACACTAATGAAGTTTTGCTGAACAACAATGAAAGTTCCGCAATTAAACTATCCAATTTATAAGACTTAACTATACTATCAACTAAAATTAATTTTTAAGAAATCAAAATGACTTCATAGTAATGTCATTACTTATGTAAGCTATTAAGACTAAATTATCTTTCGTTTTTTCATTCAAATATACTCCCCCCCATTATTCTTCATTTCTGTAATAGTATAATCTTTTATTGAATTAGAAATTATTTATAGTAAATGAGAATAAATCAAATGGTTGATTAGCCTATTTGTATTTACTTACCAAACATAGAAATAGGAAACCAATCAGCAACAGAAAAAAATGTACTTCAAGTTCATTTACATAAAGATAATTAATTAAATTCACTTAATTTTTTTCCTGCATTCTATCTACATATTTATGTTCAAATAAGTAATTGTTTGTATAACACTACAAATAATACTCATACATCTTTTTTTATTTAAAAATTGGCTAAATTTAGCAACTTTCAGTCTAATACATATGTATGTTAGAAATTTGCTACTCAGGGGAATTTCGTTGATGTCATATCCAATGAGGTGAATGGTTTAGTCATAAATTTGTCAATGCTTTTTCGTACAGCATTATCAATAAGAACTTATGGAAGAAAAGAGCTATCGTCAGTAAAATTTTTACATTACATAATTCTTACTGGAAGGATTCGTGGGCTTGTGAATCAAATTTTTCCTCAATAATCTGATCATATTTTCTGATAAATGGCCCCAAAGGCTACAAACACTACATCTTATGATGTAGTCAACGATGTCTTTGTTTACATAAATACTAATTAGCTGTCTAACGTTAAAACCGATCTTCACTCCTATTAATACATGCAAAGTGTTGTAGATATTATTTCGAATGGAGAAAATTTGAATTCCTGGACAGAGAAAACAATAAAAACTAAAAAATGTTTAGATACTTTACATTAAGATCACTCAAGAATCAATAGACATAGTGAAAAGGACTTGATTTATTAATCAATCAAATCAGAAATCATGTAACAAGAAATGGCATTCAAAATAAATGTGCAAACAATGATATGATGATTGGTTAAAGTTGATCAGATTCAGTATCAATAGATGAGGCTGTTCATATATCGTAGAAAAGTTTCAACATATTGTTCTTTTAGAACTCTGTACTATTAAATTTCCCCCAACAAACTATTCAAACTTTCAGGTTATTGAAAATAATGTACTAATAATATATATTTCTCTTAAGCATCAAATGGACTTTTCAAAAAACAAATTTTTCATCAGTATTCTATAAAAGTCTACAATTCATCAGATGTCAAATAAATGATAAACACTGTTTTTTAATAGTTGAGATCATGAGTCGATCTAAGCTAGACCACCATTGAAAACCCGAAATCACTGGTAGGTCGTTTCGTCCTAGTAGAGAACTTTTTAGCAGTTCGCATTCACGATTCCGCACTCAGGACTCGAACGCAAGATCTTTGTCCTCTCGGATACGCTTGACCTTTAGACAAATTAGATACTTATGAGAAAATTTCGTCTATTTTTCTCAATTTTGACAAATAACGAGCTTATTTATTTTGAACCAATATAATTGCAAGTAATGGTTGACATTCCCGAAACTTTCCAGTTCAAAAAGAAATGTTTGTTCTTAGCTCCCCTTCCAGATTTCATCACATCTGTCTGTGATTAAAACAGCTTTTAACCGAAAAAAATTCTCACAAATCAACGTGTTCCATTATATTCACATAAGTTGTTCATTTCTCTTGAGTTATGCATTCACAAAAACTAAAAACACAAATATCATTAGATCATTACAAGCTATTTAGGATTACTTAGAGGTTCATTCAGAAGTTAGTACCAACATGATGGTCTGATAAGAGGCCATCAGTTGTCCAATTTGGATTATTGTATATCTGACTCATGGTTCATGTATTCCAAAGCTGGTTCAAATTTTAAAAAACTAAATGAATTTAGATCTGATTTCTTTTAGTTTGATTCTCATCATAATCGTTTATTGATTGACTCGTGTTTTGTCACTGATACTAAAATCAATACGAGAGAAGTGTTTCTTTAACAGCATTAAAATATCGCTATTATAAATGAATAAAAAGTCATCTGAAATTATTGTCAGCTATGAAAGCCAAAGTGGTTCAATTAGCTTTAACCATTTATGTATTTGATCACTTGTTAAGTTCCTAAATACACTTTGGGGTTCTTTCCTAACTATGAAAAATGTTTTCTTAGGACTTTTGCAACAAACATGTCTAGTTAGTTATCTGTAATGTGTAACTTGTTTGAATGAAGAAGTTGTACTGATTAACCAGCTTAGAGTAGAACTAATGCATATATGTATATATACATATATGTATATGTACATATTGGCGGCCTGTTTAAACATCTGGGCTACCTGTTCCTGTCATCCAGATATTTCAACAAGTTATCTAATTCCGTTTTTTTTAATACATCATTATGCCTATTAATCGCACAACCCATTCAGGTGCGTTTCTGAAAAGTGTAAGACCTTTCACTGTAAAGGTTATAGAAGGCCTAATTAGAGATATCGTGGTTGCTGGCAATATGCAGCGAGAAGAATGTACATTATCCAGATGTCGATTGACTGGGCTGCTAACTTCTAACCGGCGATCACTCAATATTTATCGTCAGGAAGGAGGAAGAAGTAAGAAACGGAAACTTGTTGAAGTACTTTGTGCTGAGAATTCCATATTGTACCAAAAATATAATATTGAATAAAGCTAATAATAATAATAATAAAGATAGTCTTGTTTTACTTCCAGTAGATTAAACTGGTTAACTACAAATTAAAGTGTGTAATGTTACTAGATGGAATGCTTATTCTAGAAATTGTCTTGGTCACTTGTACTTATTTAACTCTTGACGTCAACTTTGAAGCCTAGATTTAGCAAAAATCGTATCTTTGAAAGTGTCATTGTCTTACATTTCCTCTTTAATCTAGTTCATGTGCTATATTACATATATTATAGAATATTTCTTTTTACCGAATATTCAGCACTTCATTGCCGGTAACATTAGAGCCGAATAATTTAGCGCTTGCAAATAAAGTCTTGATCAAATTTACTTTTGTATCTGAATGGTATATAATTGTAAAAATGAATAACATTAGACTTGTTGTCAAAATCTTTCGATTCCCCTGATAATCGTCATGCAAAATAAGACAAATTATGTATTCATCACTGATATAAAACCCTTTCCGATTTATTTACTAAATATCACTTTTAAATAATATACTTAACCTAATTGTATTCATCATTTATGAATCACTTTCTAAAACCTCTCATTGGTTAATTCATGAATAATTCCGAAATCACAAAACCATTTGTCAATTAACTAGCTCATCAACACTTCATTTTAATTAATTTCATTATCAATTATAAAATGAAAAGAATATTGACTTAGAGACACGAAGGAAATTTATCTAGAAAGACATAAGCAATAATCTTTGGAATTCAAT